CACTGAATTCAGGACATATTCTGGAGGTAAAAATAAGAGGACTTGCTAATGGATAAGAAGATGTGTGGAGTTAGCACAGGGAAGAATTCAAGGGTCACTTTTACTACATTATTTTGGGGGGGTGATGGGGGGAGAAAGTTAAGTAAATTAACTTCAAAGTAATCTGAAATGTTCTTTTTATATTAAAATAGTAAGCCTTTAACAGCCAAGGCTTTGAAAGACACTGCCCCTCTCCAACTCTTCACAGCTTAAATGTGAAGGTCACAATTTCAATGTCAATTTCTCTGGGAGGTGTTCCCTGACCATCCACAGAAAGCAGTGAGCTCCCCTGCATCTCATCTTCTCTTTCTCAGCCCCTCATGTTTACTCTCACTTTAGAATGTAAGCTCCTCTTCAGCAAGGGTCCTGTAGATCTGCTTCACCACAGTCTCCCTGCACCCAGCATAGGTCTGACCCATGAGAGCATGAGTGAGTGTACACACACTCACTCACTACAAATACATTATAGATCAATATTTACACCTTACATGAATTTTTAAGATAAAACTTGAGCATCCAATGCTGTCATCATTAGCCGTCCCTCAGATCAGAACCTCACACACCCTGTGGTAGATGTTCACTCCCCTCTCTGCTCCTAGCAGTACTTTAGGGAATAGTGTTTGAGAAGTCCTAGACTAGACTATCTCCTTGGTGACATTCTAGGGGTCTAGTGAAAACACAGTAAATTAGCTATCAATAATGTGGGCTGTAACTCCAAACAGAGATGTTAAGAGGGAGTTCACTTGACAAAGCTAACATTTATCTTTCAAATTCTAGGTGAAATTTTGTACGGGAAAAGTAGGAATGAATGTCGTAGGTCTTATTAACAATATTGTAAGAACTTTTCAAAAAGGATCTTCAGACTAATAAAAATTTGTCCTTCACATCAAAACACAAGAATGGACAGGGGTGAGAAAAAGTTGATATGCTTCTGGTTCAATCTTTCAGCAGATGATAAAGAAAAACTCCTCCATTTTATAATAACAACAAATATTGAAATAGAGCCATACAGATCACTATTCTGCTTAGAAAATCCTACTTCGAAGCCTCTTCTCTTTTGTAGCCCCAGAGATACCTCTATTTCTGCATCAGTGTTACAACTGAATTTAGGTCTACCTCCATTTCTCAGGTGCCTCTGTCATACCCAACATCATGCTTCAGGAGGCTGGTAAAGGTTGGTGTGTAATAACATTTTAAACAACATCAAAATACTAAGAAGCTCAGAAGGTCATCAATGATTGTGAGGATGAACTTGATAAAAGGAGAACTTGACAAACTAAGGCCTTCACCCACTAAACAGGTTAGTGTATTTTACTGGTTAAATCAAGGGACCTGACAGGCTACTCGTCATTATGTTAAAAACATATCCACCCAACTGTTAAAATTAGTAAAGAAGTTTCAGCTAATTCTTCTAAAACTGGATTCTCCATTTACAATTTTCTTAAATCATGGGGACTTTCTGCCAATGCAAGTAGATTCCAAATGTCAAGTAGGTCAGTAATAAAATGAAAAGCTGGAGAGAGACTTTTAAAAGAGACATTTAAAAATGGGCTTAAAAAAATAGGCCTTGAGCTTCCCTGGTGGCGCAGTGGTTGAGAGTCCGCCTGCCGATGCAGGGGACACGGGTTCGTGCCCCGGTCCGGGAAGATCCCACATGCCGCGGAGCGGCTGGGCTTATGAGCCATGGCTGCTGAGCCTGCACGTCCGGAGCCTGTGCTCTGCAACAGGAGAGGCCACAACAGTGAGAGGACTGCGTACCGCAAAAAAAAAAAATAGGCCTTAGCAGAGAACTGACTGGGACACACTATGAAAAGATTACTGTAAGTTCAGTACATGAATATTAATAGAAAAAACCCTGCAGTGTTCATAAATAGTTATGACTTGATGAAATAATTACAAATAATGCAAGTCAAAATTTTAGATCATTTGCAAGTATCTGTAATGATATTCTATCCATAAAAAGCAAAAATATTTTAAAACCCTAGAGGTTTCCATTGACAAAGCTGTTTACCTAAATAAAGAAGAATTCTTTTGCTCAAATATCTATCACCTTCTGATTTTCTACAAATGAAAATTGGTGAGGGAATGCCAGGGGGAAGGGCAACAGAGTATTTAAACACTAGGCCAGTCATTAAGCCCACAGCTTGATTTAATAATGAAATAGTTTAAGTTCTCAATTTATTATTATTAAACAGAGAGTTGTATGGTCATTCGGGAAAAAAAAGATGAGAGATGTTAAAGGTTTGTGAGTAAGCAGCTAGAGTTCACTGTCAGCCTATGAAAGGAGTTCTGAAATCCTGGTCTAATACGACTAACCTCTAAGGCACAAAAGCAGTGTGAGAACTCTTGACCCCACATGGCACATGCTGTCTAACCTCAAGTGCTATTTCTCCCTTCTCACTTAAATTAAATAATAGTAGCAAAGAGACAAGTGCTGTTCTGCGCTCTATCAGGTGAAAGCTGTTTGAAGAGAGGGCTGAGCCAGACACCGGGGCATGGCGGGCACCTTCTTGCAAAGACTGAGCGGGTCACTGTGATAGAGGCTTAGGAAGTGCAAGATGAGTGTCTCTAACCTGGCATCTCCTGACACCAAGTTCATGACTAAGTTCATGTGTCATAATGGGTAAGTAATAAGTATTTCACAGCCAACTGTAAGCACTAACAGACTTTTTTTTTTTTTTTTTGAGTAAATGTACTTGTGTTTCTTTCTATGACAGGAGGATTTTCCCCTTCATTAATCACCCTCCAAAACAAGTCCACTCCACAATACAAAGTTCCAAAACACAAAATATACCCTGCCTTTACCAAGTTAACCTTAAATAAACATCTTTTCCAAACTGGGGATAATCCCTCCATTTCATGAGACCAGACTTAACAAAGCAATAGAAAGAGCTTCTTATTTTAAAAAGCTTTTTGGATCAAGAAAATGGACAGTAATTTATGTAAATGCATCAATCTCAATTGACTTCTCTAGTATGAAAAGGAATAAATAATACAGATGACTGTTTTTCAGACGACGAGTCCTAACTCTTTGCCAATGATATGGCAAAGACTCTGATGGGAATGGCAGGGATGTGTACACAAAGGTGAACACAAATAAATGTGTGTATGATAAAACGTGGTTGCTGGAGATGGACACAGATAAATAGGTATGCAATTGGACAGGGATGGCTGGAGACGGAGGGAAAGACACTGGTTCAGCTGTATCCCAGTGAGTTCACAGAGCTTTCATGATCTAAAAAATGTGCGACAGCAGAATTCCTATTAAGAAGGTTAAAAAAGTCCTACCTCCTCTTGGGCAATTCAGAATAAAGCTATCTCAGAATATAATAAATATGTCATAAAATACACTATTATATAAAAAATTTAGGGACAAAAACAAGACGAAAAAACCAGGATCCTAAAGGTAGAAGAATGCTTATTTAACACCTTTAAATATCTGAAATTGTTTAAATGCTATTAGATTGGCACCTAGAACCCTAAATTTCTACTTTCCCCTGGGAAAGTAGAGGCTATGCCTATTCAATCATCCCTTAAATGCAAAGAGGTTTGACCCCCATGCAATGGATAAAAGTCACCCAAAAAATGAACAAAAGAGGTGTTTGGAAAAACCAGAACACCATTCATCCCAGCTAACGACTTGTTCATTATGAGTGATGATGGATAAAGACTTCTCATGCTGAGATGAAATCAAGATTTATATGCATTGTTTCCTCTCCCAACTTGTGGGAAGATCATCATCATTTAATTCTATCTCTGTGGCCAGTGATGGGCATCCAGAGAGCTGGTTATCAAACGGCGCAGTCAGCTGGCAAAAGCCGAAACGTGCAGTTGGCACATCTGGACGGAGCCGCCACAGCCGAGGGTGAACAATGACTCCTGGCAAGCATCCAAATTGCTTGCAGACGCTAGCAGGTCTCATCTACAACCGCCCCTACCAGCATCTCTCTCTCTCTTTTTTATGAGAATCAGATTTTCATTGCTCCATTCAATTGCTCTCCTCTGCCATTTTTTACAGCTCTTATCGTTCCCCTGGAATATGGCCTTGAGACAGCTCATCCGTGTCCTTCACTGTGTTATCTCTTCTAACTTTTATTAAAACTTCAGCTTTCATCTGAAGATAGCTAATTAAATCTGGAACAGATTATAATCCTCCCCTTAAAAGGAACACAGAACTATTTTCCTCAACCCGAGCCATGCTTTTTTTCCCTTTCCAAAACATAAAACCAAAGGTGTTTAAGAAGTCTCATTTGCTTACAAAGCTAAGATATCTGACATGTCATAGATAGGTTGATTTATACTAAAGTTGTCTATGGTATGATAAATCTTTGAGCTATTTCTCAAGATAATTATTTCTCAATATTGGGAATATTTTTTCTCATATCCTTTAAATATTACAGCTAATACCACAAGCTTATTTTCTGTATAAATTGAGTAATGAGGAATTAGCGATTAACAGCTACTTGTGTCAAGTGATTTATCTTAAAAAAAATTTTTTTTTTTTTACAGTTGCCCTCCTTTTGGTAAAAATGAAAAAATGTTTTCTTTTATTCTATACCTCAAACACTAGCAACCAGAAATTTCCCCCATGGAAAACTACATGAAAACATGAAATTAAAAGCAGTGCTTCAAATTTAGGGTTAAATCAGTTTTCCAGACAGCTTTACGCCAGCTAATAGTTAGCTCAAGTAGCTTTGTCTTAATCTATCACAAATTAATGATGAAGCTTCCATAAGTGACATGGACACATTCTTCTCACATATGTCACTGACCCGATCCCTTCCTTGGGTCCAGGGGCAGCTTAAAATCACTCTTCTGCTGTACACTTGCTGTTGAACCCAGCAATGACATCTGAACCAATCCAGCCAGCCATCAAACACCCACCCATACCCACACCCACACCCAGCACTTTTAACTAAGGGTTAAGCTTCTGTTGCCAGAGTATGATTTAACTGTCCCACCTGAAATTTTCTGGGATCCTTTTCTTCGCTTCACTGCCTTTAGCAAGATTTCTTTCATGGTGACCTTTGTGTTGTCCACCTGAATAAGGGAGAATCCATGAGCAGCATTTCTGTAGGAAAAGACAAACATTAAATCAAGACCAATATTCAACCAAAGGGATGTTAATACAGTCCTCACTGAGTTTCAGTTTGAGTAAGTGTACAATGAAGTGTCAATTATTTTAAAAAGGGTTAAATAAACTTTTAACGTGAAAAAAAGAGAGAGAGAGAGAGAGAGAGAGAGAGAGAGCGCACGCACGCGCGAGAAAAGCATTCTAATATGGACGGTTCCAAGTGAAAGAGAGGGCAGAATTAGGGAAGATGTTTCTATTTATCTTAAATTGAATCCAATTGGCCTGTGTGGGTCACTAGTACCATGGCTTCCTAGTGTTGGTTCCCAAGCCAAATCCTGCAGCAAGGACTAACAAATGATAAACTTGGCTTGTGTCAGTAGATGTCACTGCAGGCAGATACTACCATTATATTAAAGCTCATGGAGCCCTGGAGGGAAAATGGGGGGTGGATATGATAGCCCAAAGCAATTTAGAATAAGGAAAACAAAGACTCTCCCCAACTGGCAAGCAAATAAATAAATTAATAAACAAGCATTAAAAAAATACACAGTCTGTGTACACTTCAGTAGTAATGTTTTAATCTACTTAGTCTTAGAAGGTCAAGCAAAATATTAACTGAGGCGTAAATAATTACGACAAAATAATAACACTACTTATAAGCTTCTAGCCAAACACACTTGGGGTGGGGGGGTCATCTAGATAAGAAAAAACTGGTAAGGAACAAGTAGCCTTAAAAAACAAGCCCATCCCTGGGTGAGGGATAACTTCACTACGACCGTTAACTGCAATAGGAGATATCACAAATACTACTCACTATGCTTGGGCACTGAAACAAAACAGGTCAATTCCAAGCAGCTCATGTAACAAATGGGACCCAAGTTTCCAACTATGGAACATGGGAATTGCCACAAGGAGTTTGGTTGCATTCCCATTTCCCCATAAGAATCTCAAAGCGGAACACAGCCAAAAAACATGGCAGAACTTCATACTGACAAGAAAACTGAAAGAAAAGCCAAGCCCAAGCTAAGCCATGGAAAAGCTTCCCAACGGTAGGACAGGCTGGGAAGGGGTCTTAAACCTATTTTGGACCTAACCAGGTGGCTGGCTTTCCAAGGGGGCTGGGGGCTGATTTCAAAACCAAGGACCCAATTTGCTTCCCTAATACAAAGACATCTCCACACCCCCTCCTCTCCATATGGCTTGCTGTTTAATCCTTGACATTCCATTTGTTAAAAGGCAAAAGCCGATGCTGGTCTAGCCAGCACGATCATCCATTTTAACTTGGTCAAGTTTTGCTCTCGAACAGCAGGCCTGAGAACTGTCAAGCTAATTTTACTGAACACTCTGTTACTGAATCATGCCTGAGCCCCGGCCGTTCTTTACCTCAGAAGCTGGACCCCATCCCAGAACAATCTTTAAAAGTTTATTTTACTGATCAAAGCAAAATAAGAAATAGCTCTTTTTTAAAAACTATATTTAGGGAGAGAGGTAGTAAGTGATGCTCTGGCAAGAGTTCTGAAATGTAAAGTGCCTTGTGCATTTATAAACTTGCGGGTATTTGCTCTGGCACTAGGCCAGTGTGTGTTTGGAACAAATGCCAATCATTCGCGTTCAGACTTGCCTTCCCCTGCTTTCTCCTCGGAAGTCAGTATGCGCTCCATCTGTGACAATATGCTGGGCGATGGATGAGTAGGACCTAAAAGGAACACCAGTTCTTGGGTACTCGCAAGCTAGTATTGGGCTAGATCTCCCAAACTTCCATCTGTCCGGGTGCCACCTGAACTATTTTAGATTTGAGTCTGCTTGTAAATTGCTTACATTCTCTCCTAATCTGCTGCTGGCTGATAGCGTTATTTCCAACCAATACATTTATCTTTTCAGCAAAGGCAGACTAAAAGCTCAAAAGGAAGCCTTGTGTTTGGACTAACTTCCATAATTAAAAGTGTCCTTTGAAAAGATTTTTGAACAGAGGAAAATCCCTAGTCTGTATTTTTCTGTCATCTTACCCAAACATACCTGGGTGACAAGGTTAAAGCATGTGGAGGAAATCCCTGGCACTTATCATCCACAGGCATTACTGATAAACTGTGTGGTGGAGGAATAAAGGATCACCTTCTGTATTTTTTCATTACACTTTTCTTTTGTTACAGAATACATAAATCCATTGTGGCACAATGTAATACGTATCACCATGCTACACCTGCGGACGCTTCCGAGCGGCTGCCATGTCTGTGCAGTCAGGAATGATAAGTGAACCACCCGTGAATGTTAACGATAGTGATCATTCTGAGGTAACTCGGCTCTCCATCTTCCTTTACAGCCTCTGTGCTGAAGCCAGGGTAGCAAGGTTCATGAGAGGAAAACGAAAACAACAGTGAAGGGAAGGGGCATGCTCGGCACTCGGAATGTGCCTTCGCGGGTGTGCGGGATCTCACTCTGGGGCTCCGTTTCGGTGAAAACGTGCACATTTAAAGGAGAAAGAGGTTGTGACCCATGTCCTGTGCCCTCAGCCAGACCTAATGAAAGTTTCCTCAGGTCAGCCTCGCACTCCACTCACTCCTCTCCCTCCAGACGAACGCCAACCTTGGATCTTGTCCCAAGTCTACGGCACTTAATGTTTCTAAAACACAAGAGTACAGGATCTAAGTGGTTCTCAGAATCCATGTAGGTGCAACTGTTAAGTTGTGCTCCCATTTAATAAATGGATATGGAGACTTGCTACCACAATTTTCAGCTTGACTTCCAAAGAGTCTGGGTTTTATGCCTCATTTCTTCATATCCAGGATTTTTTATGGGCTTTCTAAAATGTCTACGGAAATACATCCTGTAAAGGCACTTTTATTTAATGTTGGGCACTGGGTCTGAGACTGAGGAGACGATGATCTTGGGGGACCCGGGGCAGCAGGCGGGGAGGGTGCTAGCCCTGCTTCCCTTCTTCATGGCACTGCATTTCAGTCTCTGGGTTGTGACCTGCGCCGGGGATGACCAGCCCTTGGACAGACAGGCAGATGGATGGACAGACAGGTGGGCTGCAAACCCACTCTCAGCTAGGAAACTGCTCCTCCCCCAGCTCCCCTCGTGGACAGACAGCTTCTTTTCTGCCAGTGCAGGGCATTCTAGGGGCACTGAGAAGCAGCAGCTGCCCTTCCGCAGCTCCTTGGGTTGCCCGTGCTGGGTCCAGGATGAAGCGCCACCTCAGGGAGCTGACTGAATGCTGCCAGGAGTGCTTCAGTCAATTCCAAGTTAGGTCCTGTTAAGTCTCGTAAACACCGAAAAACGTACGGGTATTTTAAAAAGAGATTACTCACTTGAGGAATTCAGCTCTGTCCCAGTGCAAAGCCACTCAGTTACCAGAGGGAAGTTTTTATACCAGCATTAACCTAACACAATGAGCATTTCTGCACAAAGCACTGAACTAGAGGCGGCGGTGGACAAAGGGAGAAGTAGGGTCACAGGTCTTTATCTGAGAAGCTTAGATTCTATTTATAGGGGCAGAGCTGGAATCAGAACCCAAGTTGGAAGGCAACATATTGGAGAGGAAGACACATGGGCTGGGAGTTAAATACCTTTTGGTTCAAATCCTGGCTCCATGGCTAACCAAAATGTTGTCTTAACATGTGGGAACCTCAGCTGTGTCCACGAAATGAGGAGGCCATGTCCCTACAGAATTGCCAGGAGGATAAAATAGACAATGAACGCCAAGCACCTGGAACTAAGGCTGGCAAACAGTAAAAGGGGTTTACGATGTTCCTTCTCTTGTGTTCCCCTGTCCCAAGTCATCACCCCAAGAGAAGAGGCTCCATTCAGCCCATTTCCCCCAAACCCCCAGGAGATATTGCTTATTTGGGGGAATGGATCTCAACCTTCATTGCTCATAATTGATAACACAGAGCCATGAAAATGTGCAATTGGCTGGGCATGGTGGCAGCACTGGGACACTGTCAGTAAGCAGCCCCTGGCCCAGGCATCAAAACCCCCCTGAAGCTCAAAGCAGGGCACCCTGGGCTCCGGTTTTAAGGTTTTCCTTTTTGAGAGAGTAAACCAGAGAAGTAGGTACGTTCCACCTCGGCTTAACTCAGCTTTGGGTGGGGATGGTGGAAGTCAAAAATCATGGTGGGCTTCCCTGGTGGCACTGGTTGAGAGAGTCCGCCTGCCGATGCAGGGGACACGGGTTCGTGCCCCGGTCCGGGAAGATCCCACATGCCGCAGAGCGGCTGGGCCTGTGGGCCATGGCTGCTGAGCCTGCGCTCCACAACGGGAGAGGCCACAACAGTGAGAGGCCCGCGTATCACACACACACGCAGAAGCCATGAGTTAACCAAGCCATTTTTAAAGGTCACTGTCAATTCCCCTCATATTCCTCCTGTTCCTTTGCCCTGCTGGCCCAAGGAACATGTGCAAAGAACCCTGGCAAAAAAAAAAAAAAAAAATTCATGGTGATAATGCAGAGAAATCCAGTGAGATTTATTAAGTGTCTGCTTCTGCAGAGTACAAGATGTTATTATTCAACAATTACAACAATAATAGTAGCATCTACTACCTACTGAGCACTTAGTATGTGCCAAGTGCTGTGTTAAGCCTTTTAAATCTGCATCAACTCATTCTACCCTAAAATAGGCACTAATAAATTATATCCATTTTGCAAAAACTGAGGCTGGAAATATTAGGGACTTTACCTGAGGTCACTCATCTATTAAAGATCCTATTTTGGATTCAGAAATCAACAATATGGTCCTTAATCCAAGTAGCACAGTCCAGTGGGAGAGAAAGACAAAGAAGCAAACAAAGAATTACAGCTCTGCATGATGAGCACAAAGATGAAGGCAAGCTCAGAGTGCTGCCAAAACATAGGGGCACTGAACCCAGCCGGTAGGGGTGAGGGGGATCAGAGAAGCTTCTTAGTGGGGATGTCTCAAAACGTAGTTGTCATTTAGCTCTGTATCATACTGAAAAAATGGTGGCAACACCGGAAGACAGCAGAGCACAGCAAGTTCTAG